AAGCCAGCTGTGATGTTGCCGGATTCCTCTTCTTTCTTCTGGCGCTTGACAAACGGTAGCTCCTCTGGCTCCCTCTTGGATCCAGCGCCAGCCTTGTCTGCAGGAACATCCAGTGGCACGAGTTCCCTGGCGTCCTTGAGGAACTCGGCAAATTCGGATCTGAATCGCACATGGTCCGACCAGGTAGCCAGGAGCTTGTCGGGCGTCTTCAGGGTGGGAAGCCCGTCGATCTTGATATTCTTAGCCACCACAAAAGAGTTCAAGGCAGGCAATGGCGGCGCAGCTTCTCGCATGTCTGCTGGCACGTCCGCTGGCGGGAGGGTCAGGCTTGCGGGCAAAGTGAGGGAGCCACTCAGGAAGCCCTCCGCAATGTAATCACGAAGCAAGCACTTGCTCCACTCTAGTTCTCCTGAATTTCTAGTGAAGCCCATATAGTAGACAGGGTTTGTGCCACGTTCATGGAGGAAGCCTCTAGTGAAGTCACATGTGTGGCAAGTCAAGTCCACAATCAAACACACACCACGGCTTGTCTGCGCTTGGCCTTCGTTCTGCAGAGCAGCCCGAATGATGGATCGTGAAGCTGCCACGCCCACTTGGATGGACTTTTCGGGCTGGGAGATATGTGTGTTGGGATCGGTCGATGGGGGCAGGGCTGCTTCGTTCATGTCTTCGATCTGCAACATGTCTCTGGAAGGAAGCCTCGTCTGATTGAAGCTTGCATGCCCTGATGAGAATGAGCCCTGAACCTCTATACTGAAAAAATGTCGCGGTAAAATCCTACTCCCTCCCACCAAGTCACAATTCTGCTTCTTGCAACAGTTGCTTCCTGAGCAACGCCCTTGACCTCCAAGCTTCCATGGACATCTTCAACGCATCCTCCTGCATGGCAAGAAGAACCCTCAAAATCTGGACCAAGGGCCTCGTTTCTCGCTCGTCTGTCCTGCCTTGGAAAGGCAGCACTGCTGTGTGATCCAAGTTCACATTCATGCTCGCCAGGAGCTCGTAGCACTGGTTCTCGACCACATGCAACTTGCCCTTCTTGAAGCCGAAGCTTGGCACCAAGGCTAGGCCAACACAGGGATTCATCGTGGAATTCACCAACCCACCCAGAAGGCCAGCCTGATTTCGCTGGTGGTGCGCCTCGAACAGATTCGGGGCCGCCCAATTCAGCAAGCAAAGAACCTGCGCTCTGTCTTGCCCCACATACTCCAGCCTGGCGATGTGCTTCAAGGTGTTTTGAACGGCTTTCAGTCCTTGTGTTGGGGTCTCAAGCGTCTCCAGCTCAATCAGCCAATTCGACGAGGTGCGAGTCAGCAAGAAGTCTGCATACTCTCGAGCTCGTGACTGCCTTGAGAGCTTCCAGGAAAGATTCTGATGGTAGATGGCGGCATCTCTGTCTTTGGATCGTGTGAGCCACATCCTGAACACGTCTAGATCATGCTTCATCGAAGAAATTGCAAGGTCAAACGCCTGGCGCTCGATCTCGCTGGGCTGGATTGCTCCAGCAGGTGTTTTGCCAAGCTTCTCCAAAGTTGCCTCCGCGTTTGCAACGTGCTGCGATATGATCTTCTTGCAAGATGGGAGATCCCTCGGTGAAAACTCAGATTTTTTGTCGGATAAAGCACCTTGGATTTCCATTTCAAGGTTCATATCACCATCGAGCAGCTGCTGAACAAGCTGCTTCTCAATGACCAACGGCTGCACTGGAAGTGCTTCCTCTAGTTCCTGAATGACTGAAACCAGGAACTGGCACAGTAGCGAAGCACCTTCCAACTCAGCATTGCTCATTTTCATTCGCGTGCCCTTCCTGATCTTTAATAACTAAAACGCCAGGCAAAGAAAGGCAAGTTGGGGGTAGAAGAGGTCAAAATGTAAAATTGTTTTACTGGCTAACAACCTGGAAGCAGCTTGCGAGCATGCTTGCTGTGAATGTAACGCACCATCAGCAGAAATCCGGCGTTGCTCACGGTGAGACGCTGATTCCACTCCTTGGAGTAGCCCTTTGGACAGCCGTTGGGCATTATGCGCTTGTTGCTCCAACAAGTCTCGGAGAAAGCAGTCTCGCCACCGAACTGACTGAGGTGCTCGAGGAGCTGGTCTGCTGCAGACTGGTCCAACAACAGGAGTGCTCTGAGGGCCTGCTCTTTTTGCCCTTTCAGCTGCGCCTCTCTGGGGCATTGTTGATTCCATAATTTGACGATGGATGAGGGTTCCATGCCTTGCTTTCGAAGCAGAACAAGCTTGCCTAACCAGGTCAAGGCGCAATGGGCTTTCCGAATAGATCCGGCGTGGGATTGCTTGGCGTTCTCCAAAGCGACTGAAGCTGCGTCGGAACCACACGTGGACTTCTGCGCGTAAATGGCACACAAACTGGCCTGCAAAGGAGGGCTGAGAGAGGCCAGGTCCCAACCATATTTGATGGAAAGACTTGAAAGCACGAGTGCGGTTGCAGCCCTACACGCACCCTTGACATAGTAAGTCCATTGCTGGCTGGTTTCGCGCTGGGGTCCTTCGTATAGAACCAGGGGCTCCTTCCTGGTCTGGAAGCCATCAGTCAGGATTGCATCCATAAGACTGATTGTGGTGCACAAGAACGGCGGTGGCTTTGTGCTACTTTCTGGTTTCCAGGACAGATCCCATAATGAAAGGCAGAAGCAAGCTTCAGCGCCTGGCAGGACATGTCCGCGGTGATAGATCATGCCACCATCCTGGGGGAAGTGGTCCTTGAGGTCCTGTGTGAAAGAACTGGCTGCTCCATCAATTCCATGGGACATGTTCAGGTACGCCCATGCATTCCCATGTCGCGTCAGCTCTTCACGGGCCACGTCCAAAATAATATCTCGGAAGTTTTCCTTTATGAGAACTTCATGAGGAATCAGCCCCGGCTTCCTGGAAATCCCAGCAACAATTGGTGCAGCCATTTCGTGCGCAGCTGATTGTTCTTCCTTGGGTGTTTCCAGATCACCGGCGCGACTTGGTGATTCAATCTCCATGCTTCCTGCCTACCTCAGCAGCTAACCTTGATCCAAACTTGTCTTAAAGGGCGGGGTAATCTCTGGAGCTGAAAAGGCAGAATCTGACCAACATGGGGGTCTGAGCTCGGACCCCCCCAGATCGTCTGATTACCCATGGAATCCGACCATCTCCTTTCTAAGGCCAACTGGACCTGACTAACGCCCCCCCGCTGAGCTCAGGGAGGTCTGATCGTCAGATGTAGAATAGCTATACAACGGGATCATCTGATTACAGATGTAATCCGACCAACGCCCCCCCCTGAGCTCAGGGGGGTCTGATCGTCTGAATCACAATATGATAGATGGATTTACGTTCGACAGATTTTGCAATATGATCCTGATTGCTGAGGCACCAACAGTATACCCACCTGAGTGTCTTGGCCTTGCTGAGTCCTTGCTGGTAGCAAAGACTAATGAAATCATATTCCTCTCGAACATCATGCTTACCAGCCAGGCCCCAGGCATTCATGTCCAGATCATGGCCAGCCCCACCTCCAGATTGCAGCAAGGCAAGGACTGAAAGAAATCACAAAGCTTCTGCCAGCAACTACCAGACGACCATTTGCTTTCAGTCCTTTTTTCTTGCTCCAGCGAGATGCGGGCATCTGAAGAATTCATTGTTCATCATTCTAGCCCATTAATTTGGGTGCAGATTGCAAATTTGCACAGGCACTTCCCGGGCAGCTCTATGGCCGTACTGCCTTCTCCACAACCTCGGCCAAACTTTCGCAAAAGCCTGCTGGATAATGCTGGCAGATTTCAGACAGCTTCATCCCAGCACATTGACCTTGGATCTCACGGTGAGGTGTGCTACAAGAGCACTGGTATCTGGAGAAAACAGGAATTATCCCACTGTAATTGCTCATCAACCTGGTCCTCTTCTTTATTGGTCTGGCTGACTCGGGGCATTGAAGGCCCATCGCGCACATGTCAAAATCGACTGTGAAGGACTCGTCCATGAGGCTTTGGACAGCGCCTGTGCGCCATGAAGTTGCCGTGCTAGGGTGCTCCCAAGCGTACCAGCGCCCATGCTGAATCTGAAACCTGGCTACCATCACGCCAAATTCCAGAAGGATCAGGACCTCTGACATTCGCCTTTGGAAGACCACAGGATCCATCTTTTCAAAATTTTTGAAACAGGTCTGCAAGGCAGAGAACATAGTGCAAGGCGGGGAAAGCATCACGAACATAGGGCAGACAGTTGCAAGCATCAGCAACGCCTGCTGCCTGGCTGAAAACTCCAGGAAGTCGAAGCCTGTCCGGAGGTCTAGAGCCAACGTAGCTCGGAGGCCTCGCCGAATCACTGAGTACGTCACTCGTGGCACAGAGAAAAATTCTGCGAAGTGATCTGGAAGCCGCTTCTCTTCCTCGTCAGAATCCACAACAATCACTGCTGCCTGACCACTGGGAATGTTGCATTCCCGTTGCTTAGTCTTTGATGGCATTGCTGCAGGCTGCAGGCTCGTTTTGTTGCTGACTCTACTTGCTCTGTGCATTGAGCCCAGAAGGGAATATGTGAAAAAAATGCTTCAATCACTTGTCTTGCACAAGCAATACCTCTGAATCTGAGCGTCCAAAGAAAAAGACAGCTTTAAATTCAAATGCTGGCTTCCCTCTCCTGGCCTTCTCGTTGGTAGTTGATTGAAGTTCTGGCCTCGGTGAACTGGCAGGGCAGGTGAGAGAGCTACATGATTTGCCCAAAGCAACTGCAGCAACATTGAATCATCACTCACGCATCTCTTTTTGGACATCTCCAGGCCAGCCAGCTGGATCTTCCCCAAATTGGGTCTTGTCTGCGCAATCATGGACTTCTGGGCATTAATCGCTATTTTGTTGGTTGGTGGTGGTGGTGGTGGTGGTGGTGAAGCTGATAGATGATGGTATACTTGTAATTGCTGCGTTGTATTTTTTGCTGATTACGCTGCTGCTGCTGTTGTCATGCTAGTCGATGAGGATGTTTCTCGTTAATATGATTGTGCATGCAATTCACGCCCAAATCCATGACTTCTTGTCTAGGGCCAATTTCAGACCCTGCTGTTTCCGGCATCGAGCACAACCGATCCTTTTGTTGGGATTGCACTTTGTACAACCAAGCTTTGCCTTCTCTGGCACATCAGGCGGGCCTGGCAATCGCCCTAGCATGAAAACTCTACCCAGATCAGCGGGCGAAGGAGCAATCCTAGCTGGTGCCCCTCCACGACCATGGTGCGAATCTGGGCACCCTTGCTGACTGCTTGCAGCTGTGGGCTCCCTCATGCCGGGGATCTCGGCTGCGTCTGCGTCTGGCAGCTCCACATCAACTTCAGCTGCTGCGAGCTCCCTCACCTCGGGGATTTCGGCCGCATCGGATTCTGGCAGCACCAAATCACCATCACCAACTGCCCTTGACGATGTTCTTCTACGAGCCTGGAATAGCAAACCCGATCCGTGAACCAGTAAATACAAACCTTAAGGAACCAGCGGCAACTGACGCCAACACTAAACCTCTGCTATTGTTTTCATTGAAAAAGCAAGCATGTTAAATTTATGCTGGAAACATTCAGGCAAGAAGCTTTCTCCTTCTCCTCGGTATCTGGTTGGGAAGTTGCAGCCCGCTTCTTTGGGGCACTTTTTGCAGCTGTCTTCCTGACGATCACTGAAACTGGAGCAGCTGCACGATTTGCGAAGCCCAGCGCTTCTGGATTGATCTCTGGCTTCTCTTCTTCGCCAGCTTGCGGAGCTGGCTTCAAAGCCAGTTGAATCTCTGGCGGCTCCCATTCAGCTAGCTGGGGATCCTGATTGAAATTCACAAGATTGCGCAGGTAGGTGTTGGCCCTCAGAAGCCTCCAAGGAGGCTTCAGCACTTTGTTCGCCGTCTTCCTGAATTCCGCAAGCTGCTTGTCACTGAAGCTCCGCCGGGGTGCAATTTGGGGAAGGCTTGACAAGTCCACCTGATCCCATAACTTCGCTGGGATATACACCATGGGTGTCTGGGACATGGTCTCCGAGCTCAGGTACTGATAAACTTCCAGCACAATGTCCTTGCCATCAGGCTCATACCCTGGAAGTTCCACAAGTGTTTCCCCAGTCATGAGCTTGTAGTTTTCCCGCTGGACCAAGTTGAAAACATGCACTGCTTCCTCGTCTCGCAATGTCTGCTGATGGGTCTGAACGTGACCGTGCAGAGACACAACGTCTCCGAGGCCCTTCAATGACTCCTTCCAATCGTAGGCAGCCTCCACCTTCTCCACTGTAACAGAACGACCCCTGTGAGGCTTCAGCTCTTGTACCCTGGCCAGAAAATCTGAGGGCTCTTGCAACTCCACTGAGTCCGCCAACAATGTCCTGACGCACGCAAACCTCTCGTCCGGAGCACAATGCGAATGGCCGACTCGAAAACTGGTGAGGACTGCTTCCCTGAAAACTCCTCGATGTAGAAGAGAAGCCAACCACTGCAGCAGGAACTGATTTTTTGTCTCGCTGGGTGTATTGTCAGAGTGAACACGCAAAACGTTTGGATGGGGCTGGTTGTCGCGGGCCAACTTCTCCAAGCACATGTGCACAGACCTTGCCAACAGAGTCATCATGAGGTTGGGGTCTTTGGACAAATCTTGGTCGCAGAAGTAGAAAGATTCGAAATGCCCCTCGGACAGGACAACAGTGAAGATTGCCTCAGGGCGCCACAAAGCAGCAAACGCCTTGGTTTGCTTCAAATTGCGTGGGATCCGGAACTTTGCTGTGTCCATAGAGTCGATGGACAGGCTGAGAAACTTCTTTGCAGGATCCTTGCCCATCTCGCACATATCCGAATCAACCTTCCTGTCTGCAAACATCGACTCCAAGTGGTGCACATAATCTGCCTTGATAAGCTTGATGTCGGCGGGGTTGGTCGTGATTCGTAGGTGCTGCTTCAGCTTTTCGCATTCGGTGCATTTAGAATGCTGTCCCTCATGCCTGAATTTGAGAATCTTCTGCCAGCTGCTGTGGTAGACCCGCACAAAAGTGCTGTACGAGACTGGCTCAAGATCCCCCGAAAGGAAAGACATTGCCTTGCTGCCATGCGGCCTATTGAGTCCAAAACAAAAAAAAAGAAAGAATGATCAAACATGCAAAGGCGCTGTCTCCCTGATCTCTTTCAAGGTGGTGTGAGGAGCTAAAAAGCGAACGTCGTCGCGCCCAGGTTTGAGCAAACTGAACAAGCCTGTTTTGGTGAATTGCCCCAGCTTTTGCTTAGCTGTCACATAGACATCTCCTGCTTCCACCAGAGGCTCAGCCAAATGCATATGCGCCCACCTCAGCATCTTGTCCGCCGTCATCTCAGCATCCTTTCTGTTGACCTGGAATGTGGATGACCGGCCATCGGCTGGAGGATCAGTAAACCCAGCTGCCACATGCTCTTTGAACTTTGCATACACACTTCGACTTATTCCCAACACCTCGCAAAGGGCGTCCCGGCACAAAGGAATATCGCAAAACGAGTACTTCCTCCAGCCCTGGTTGGCTGTCCCATCCAATGAGGCATCTTCAGAAAGCCAATGGCGCATGCAGTCGAAACGAACTTTGGCAGCATCGTGCTTCGTTGCTCCATCGAGCGCAGCTTTCAGATCTGCCATCCGCAGCTTGCCGGCCGGTGACTCTTGCAATGCTTGGACACAGCATTTCAGGCAGCAGTCTTGGTCAGGAAGTCTCACATCTGCCTCCTCGACATCAGAGCTGGAGCTGGGCAACTCTGCAGATGATTCCTCTGGCAGCTCCACCGAATATTCATCATCCGCACGCATACCCTCAAGGCAAAAAATCTCTTGAAAAGGAATTTGTTCATGAGTCTGGATTGCGCGATCTGTGTCAGCCCTGATGAGAACCATGCATGGATTGACTCAACCGCTGATATTCTGCTTTTTCCCGTGTGTGTGTGTACTCTACAGCCTGCCTGGCCCACAGGCCAACCGATATGAATGAGTAAACTGGTGCACAAAGCAGCTTGAATCTGCACATGGCATTTGGAAATTAAATAACTCATGATCTTGCGACACGCCGGCTGGGCACTTGCTGGAGATGCGCACTTCCTGAGTTCCTGACTGACAGCTAACTTCATCCATCACTCTCATTCCTGTCATGCAAGAACAAGACTCTGACAAGCACACATACAAACACACTGTGGCCACTTCCAAGTGTGACCTGCTTGCTGCCTTCTTGCCCCCGAGCCAGCCGAAGTGAGCTTCGGCTGTCTTGATAACAAACAGTCTGCCTTAGGAAACGATGACAAAGAATGTTCTTGTGAGTTTTCTGTTTGCCTACCCAGGGCTCCGGCAAGCAACGAGGCAGCGTCAATGTAGGAGAGGCAGGGCATTCTGCTCCTGCCATGTAGAACACAATCTTAGTCAGACCAGCGCAATCACCTAACATGAGCTGCCTTCTTGCCACTCAACCAGCCGAAGCTCGCTTCGAATAGAACAGCTCATTTGAAGTGCGCCGCCCGCTTTCTCCACATGACCTGGCACTCATCTCTGCGCATTCGGCTGTCTTCATAGGGCTTGCCTTAGGAACTGCTGATAAAACATGTTTGTGTGACATCAGTTAGTTGGCTTACCCAGGTCTCCGGCCAGCAGCCAGCTCAACACTGAATCGTTGTTGAGCTGCAAGCAGCCTGGCAATGGCGTCAATGCGCAGGCTTGTGACTCAGAATTTTTCTGACATGTGTCCTAGTCCCGGGAGTTCGCCTACCCCGCCAAAAGGCGAACTCCCACCATGAAACCCCCAGTTTTTGAACACAAGCGCTGGAGATAGGGCTTGCCTGCGCTGGAGAAAGTGCAGCAAATTAAAGCCCAGCTCAGAAGCAATAAAATGTAGCAGTAGCCCAGGCCTGCGATATTCGTGACGCAGCAGGCCTACACTTTTCTTAGCTTGCTTGCAAGCAGGCTGAAGCTGACACAGATTAAGTGCCACACGTCCAGGCTTGCTTCAGCTCCATGGGAGTGACCTGGTCGAGTTCAGAGCTCAGAAGCCACTGACTGATAGGACCCCAACGCAAGCAGGCCTTCTTTGTGCTGACATTAATTTTAATGCAGCTTTCCTGCGCTGCGCTACCATAAAGAAGCACTTTCTCCAGCGCTGCCTTGCACTTTCTCCAGCGCAAGCAGGTCTATTGCAGGACCACCGATGCGCCTCGTTGCCCTTCAAGGAGGCGTGGTCTGCACCTGAGTCTCTGCACAGCTGCACAACCGTTGGGGCTTGGCTTGATTGCTTGACTCTTGCCGAACATGCGTGTATGTATCACTTACCCCCACTCAGGTGATTATTTTTCGCAGCCGATCCTTTAGGTGTACGCGTGAATGCATGATGACACATACAGCATGCAGGCAGCAATTGCAAATGGAAAGCACGGTTTCTGTGCACATGCCTCCTGAAGGCAAAAACACTAATGTCCACCCGATAACAGAAAGTCTGAGAAAATCCTAGATTGTCAGATATGAGGCTTCATAAGCGCATGCTTTGGAGATTCCAGTCAGGTTAGCTTTTCGTCTGCTGAGTGAGAGCCATGTCGTCCAATCGATGGTCCAATTGGCAAGTCAGGGCCCAAAAAGGCAAGCAAAAGCAAACAGCTTCCAAACAACTTGTTGGCAGGACTGGCAGCACGGGAGCAACGATGGATATTGGCAGACCACCTCAGCCCGCGCCTGAAGCAACAAACCTATTTGTGCCTGGGCACTTTCCCATTCCTGCTTCTTCCAGGAGTCACAATGGTGGCAGCAAGAGCAGGTCTACCTTTTCTCTTGGTGTCTTGCTATTGAGTACAAGTTAATGTATGTTGTTTTGGGAGGACGAAGGGTATGCCGGAGGCTACCATGAGAACAAGGACAAAGAAATTCGTAGCCGTTCTGATGGGCAAAAAGTTTCCAGTGGATCACACGTAGCAAAATGTTTTTCCAGGATGAGCAGTCAGGGCCCCAAGCTTCAGAACGAGACTGGCACTGGTGGGCCCATGAGCAGGCAGGTATGTTGTTGCTTTAATGTCCTGTTGCTAATGAAATGTGCAGCCATCTGACTTCACACCCTTCTTTGCGGAGGAGCAATGCACCACCAAGCATGCAGAGACGAGTCAGGACAAAGAAATTGTTGGTCGTTGCATTCATTCACCTTCATCTATATATATTGTGTTCCCCTCAGGATGATACGCAGGAAAATTGCGCGCAAGAGACCGCGCGAGGCCAAGCCGCCAAGGCAGACCTTTCTTGAACAGACTGTCTGGTTTATTTGTAATGGTTCTGGTTCTGCCAGGAGGGCCCTGCTGCCGCAACTTGCAAGGCTAAGGCCAAGACGGCCTTAGCAGGGCGGGAGGCCCCAAAGATTCCGACATGAATTCTCTTCAGCGCGTCTATTTTTCTGCCAGGGTGGTACGCAGGAAAAGTGGGCGCAAGAGACTGCGCAAGGCAAAGCTGCCAAGGCAGCACTTTTCGAAAACATTACGCGGTGTATTTGTAATTGTTCCGGTGCTGCCAGGAGGTCTCTGCTGAAACGGCCGCAGCAGAACAGGAGGCCCCAAACAATCTGACATGAGCTTTCTTCGGGAGTGCGTTAGTCATCCTGTGGGCCCTGGATCCTCAACAGGTCCCGCCGAGTGATGACACCCCTGAGCATCAGGAGGATTCACCCGCTTGCTTTGCTCAATAGA